ATCAAACAATAAGAAGAATGTTTAAGACCTATATATTTGCATTGCTTATATGCTTGATAAATTTCTTTTTCTTTTTTTTTTGTTCAATAGAGTGTTTATCATTAAATTAAAATAGTGATCTTACAAGAGTGCAAAGCACAATACATAAAAACATTACAACTTGAAGCATAAAAACTAGGATACTTATACGACAGCGAATCAAGACAAATTTCTTGATGCGTCAGTATAAAGCTCACGGCCAAACCGGAAAGCATGGGGTTAGTCACTTTGAGCCGTGACTTTGAAATGTTACCCATCCCGCTGAATCCATCGAAACGATCTCAATTGCATCTTTAGCTCCGGATTCGGCCACTACTTAAGAGTACAAAACGGTTAGGGAAAGACTCGGTTTTGATTCTGAGAAGGTTCCTACTCTCAAAGAGAGAAGATAATGTAATTGAGCTCTCTCCCATAGGGAGAATGATACATGATTTGAGAATCCAGAAAACTGTAACCTTCTCGCAACAGAAGAGATATCAAGGTCATTAAAAACTACATGATTTGAGAATCCATAAAACTGTAATCTTCGCCAAATAGGGAAGATATCAAGCTCGGTCAAATTTTTGGAATAGTGAACTGAGCTTGATAATATGCCCAAGAAAAATTTAAGGGCCACGCCCATCAGATGACAAACCAATACAAGGCCCATCAACTGCCAAGTCCATGCTAGGCCCATTAGGGACAAAGATCGGTTTGTCTTTGGTCTGACAAGTCTTCGCCGGTGGGTACGTTTCCGGCGACGGTCAACGACCGGTGATAATAGGTAGATGGGCATGGATGGATGCGGAGGGGGAACTTCCGGCGCGGTGGAGTATTAATCTTTTGAGAGCCAGTCGTAGAATTTCCCGATCTGGAGCCTCTCAGATCTGGGTAAATTCCCAGAACAGGCCGTCGGAAAGGATCATCGCCGATGGACGAAGGCGTCGGTGGAGAGGTGAGTTCTAACGGTAGTAGAGGGAAGGGATATGTCAATAGAGACCGATTTGAAGTCTTGAAGAGGGGGGGAGCAAAACTCGATAGGGAATCGAAGCTTTGTAAGGAGGGTGCGGATCTGGGGGGACCGGTGGTCCCGGGGGTTTTGCCGGTGCTGGAGGTCACCACATGGTGAGCGGGCCTTGAGCATCCCCCTTTCAGATTCGGCGACGATGAAGGTCGCAGAGATGAAAGCCATGGAGCTGGTAATGAAGCAATGGAGGAGAGGAAAAGGAGGAGATGCTCTCGTCGAGGTAGGCGATGGCCGGCTGAGAGAGAGAGTGGGTTCTCAGGGAAGGCGCAGTCAAGCGAACGACGATGACGAGAACCTCATTCTTGCTCGGTAAGGCTCGACGGCGGCCACCTCGAGAAACGGGTCTGAGAGGTTCCTGCTAGGGCGAACTCCCCTCCTCTTATCTAATCCTTGATAAATTTCTTCTTCATTCTCTTATAATTCCATGTAAACTTTGGTTTCTAGCCATTCGAAGCCATTGTAGAGTTTACGGACGATAAATCCTTTATGAAACGTTTTCGTAGCCATTCGAAGAACTCGTTAAACGTCTTTATGTTAATTATTTACTTTCACGTTGACTAATTAACATTTAAGTGAGTAAAGGAAACACATAGAACAAGATATTTATATTGATTTTTCCGAATCAAACTTACCTTGCTATTAACTCCATTTGTATTATGGAATTTGATGCTTCAGCACCACCGTCATTTTACTATAACGGCAGGGCCGTGCCCACCTAACATAATTTGAAGCATTGGCTTTACAGCCCCCTTGATATTACAAAATTTTGGGGTCTCAAAATTTTTTAAAATGATAAATTATATATATTTGTATAGTTATTTTGGTTTGATATTATTATCTACACTAATTTTGAGTTTCAAAATTTTGTTTTTAACACTATTTTTAGGACCCCAATTTTTTTTCTTTTTTTTGCCTTAAACCTCATAAACTTTAAGAACGAGCATGTATAACGGTTTATGCGATCACATAAAATACAGTTTAATAATTTGTTTTCTCATTTTAGAATCGACTAAAATATAATCGGCCCCTAAAAATAGAATTTACATTTTCAATTTCTTACTGTTGACTATATAGGTATACTATTACATAGGATTTATTTCTTTTTCAACATATATTTGTTAAATATCTCTTTCAATTTTTTTTGTTATCGCCTCTTATATTATTAGAATATACTATTTTCTAATATATAATTAATGATAATCTTACGTTCACGATGAATATATATTATATATGTAGTATTTAGAAATACAACGAACAATTTGAAAAATAACTCCACAACTAACAATTATATCCGTGTAAAAAATTATTTATAATAGACAGGTTTTTTTTTCACATGCACACAAACGACTTTATTTTCACCCCGACAAACATACTTCTAACAAGCTTGCTTTGATTAATTTGTTTAAAATTACAGTGTGTAAAATTTAGACTTAGATAAAATTCAAATTACTTGTGTAAAATAGATTTC